CTGCAAGCTCCGCCTCCTGGGTTCACGCCATTCTCCTGCCTCAGCCTCCCGTGTAGCTGGGACTACAGGCGCCCGCCACCTCGCCCGGCTAATTTTTTGTATTTTTAGTAGAGACAGCGTTCCACCGTGTTAGCCAGGATGGTCTCGATCTCCTGACCTCGTGATCCGCCCGCTTCGGCCTCCCAAAGTGCTGGGATTACAGGCGTGAGCCACCGCACCTGGCCGCTTTTTTGTTTTTGAGACAGGGTCTCACTTTGTCGCCCAGGCTGGAGTGCAATGGCACAATCACAGTTCACTGTGGCTTTGACCTCCTGGGCTCAAGCGATCCTCCCACCTCAGCCTCCTGAGTAGCTGGGACCACAGGCATGCACCACCACACACAGGTAATTTTTTGTATTTTTAGTGGAGACGGGGTCTCACAATGTTGCCCAGGCTGGTCTAGAACTCCTGGCCTCAGGGATCCTTCCAACTGAGCCTCCCAAAGTGCTGTAATTATAAGTGTGAGCCACCGCGCCTGGCCTGCCCAAGCCTCTGATTATCCAGTGACTCAGCTCCATCCTCCCACGTGCTCCGGCCAGGAACCTGGGCTACCTCTCTGCTTGCCTTCAGAGCTATCCAGAATCCAACCTCTTCTCACCTGCTCCTCAAGCACCCACCCTTTCACACAGCCCTGTGATCTCCCGCCTGGACCAACACAGACACTTTCTATTGTCCCTATAGCGGCCAGAGACATCCGTGCACACGTAAGTCAGGGCACATCCCTGCTCTGCTCAGAAACCTCCATGGTTCCCGCCTCATTCCGAGGAAAAAGCCCAACTCTTCGCCACAGCCCACAAGGCCCTGCGTGATCTGCCCTGTCACCTTCCTGCCCTCACCCGCTTCCTCTCTCTCCATGGCTTACTCTGTTCCAGCCTCACTGGCCTCCTGGGTACGTCCCACACTCAGCAGGCATGGTCCGACCTCAGGGCCTTTGCACTAGCTGCTCCGTCCCTCTGCTTAGAATGCTCT